TAAATTCTTGTAGTTTTATTTGGTCTAGCCTTGGTCTTTGGAATGCCTAAACCTAACTTGTGAAATGAAATACTTCAACTTCTCATGTCCGAATACAACCATTCATTTTTAGTTTCAGATATATTCTCCCCTAACACAACCCTGTTGTGGTCTATACGAGAAGATAACGTGGATTGTCACAAGTATTGTATGTAACTGAAACGAAAGATGTGTCTGAAATCATTCTGCATCAGTACATTCACACCTACGCTGGTCCTGCTCTCAAGCTTATGATAAGCCTCACAACATCATTATCTCATCCAATAATTATTGTTTGATGCTGCTCCTTCTCACATTCAAGCAGCAAGTGATGTCACCCTTCCAGCTCCCTCAATGTTAAGTGTCCCACTGAATATTGATTGAGACCGTTACCCTGTGGAGCCTTTGAATCCAAATCAAGGGTGCTTTAACTCAGTGACACCCTCTCTCTGTCTCAGTCTTAAGGTCTATTGATATATGAGCATGCCATCTGTATCCTTCATGACCTGAATGAAAAGCTGGGTGCATGATAACCAGTGTTGGGTGTAACGCGTTACAAAAGTAACGGAGTTACAGTAATGTATTACTTTTTGCTGTAACGAAGTAATGTAACGCATTACTAATGCAATCTGGGTAATATACTACCCGTTACAATTCACATGTTAACCCGAAATGAAATGGTGTTTTGTTTTTTAAGAATTCACTAACATCGCGAGACATTGTGAAAAATTGTGCTGGTAGATTAGTAAGCCTGGTGTTTACCCTTCAGTGGTCAGGGTGTTCTTTTCCCCATAATGACCGCCTCGCTGCACATTATCCCGCTTATTACACGGCCATATACTAAACAAACTACAGAGTCCATTCCGTGTTCCTGTTATTGTTTACTTCCTCTCTGCCTTCTTCTGGTGATTTATCTGACGTCCAGCACTCCGTCTTTTAACCTATTTTCCTTTCTCTTTCTTGATCCTCCTTAGCAACCTTCATTATAGTCCTTGACAGTGGTCTGTACTGTATTAACAACGTGTCACATGTCAAGAATTTACTATCAGAATCGAGTATTCAACTAAGCCGTGTAATAAAAGTTGTTAGTAGCCTTAATGGCCTACACAGTTATTATGCTATACCACATTGCCCTTCACTGGATGAGCTGCACTAAACTACATTTTAGCATTTAAAATACCTAGCCATTCTTTTGCGGTTATTTTAAGTAACTCAAAAGTAATATAAAAGCAGTGTAACTCATTACATTTCAGAGACAGTAATATTGTAATGTAACTTATTACTTAAAAAAGAAAGTAATAAGTAATATGTACTGTATTACATTTTGGAAGTAACTTGCCCAAAACTGATGATAACAAGTGTATAACATCCATGTGTTGATGTGTGGGTTTGTGTGTATGTGTGTGAGAGTTGAATGGTCTATGTTAATAAATCAATATACTGTAATGAGACAGGAGAGAGGTAGAGAGGGAGAGAGAAAGAAATATGGCTTGTACTTGTTGACCTTATGCAGTAGGCTCTTATTCATAAAGACAGCTCACAGTCAATTGATGAAGATTTGGGACGCCTTCTATGATGAGAGTCAGCATACACATCAAGTAGATAGGACAGACAACTGCCACACACACACACACACACACACACACACACACACACACACACACACACACACACACACACATACATACACACACACACACACACACACACACACACACACACACACACACACACACACACACACACACACACACACAAGCTTTCAGGAGTAGATATATGGGATGTCAGTAACTGGAGGTTGATAAGTCTACAGATAATCACAGCCAAAGTAGTTATGTATTGGTTGGGGGGGGGGGTTGAGATTAAAATGGACTATGGATGATTGCATCTTGGGAAGAAGATTGTGTTTTCATCCAACTGCCGTGTTACATGTCAGTGTGTGTGAGAGGTTGTGTGTGTTGGGCTCTTGGCTTCAGTTGCCACTGGGTCCCATGGGAGCACAGGGGAACAGAGAGGCTGTAGATTAAAAAGAAGAAGACATACTACTCTGTAAGAAGGGACTCTTCCTTCTTCCCTTCTTTGACTTCTTTCACTCATGCTTCTCTCTTTTCTACTTTACCGTCTTGACATTTCGGAATTATTGGTCATATTTCTCAAAAGATTTTTCAAACATAATAAAGACGAGATTATACAGACTAGAATTGAAATGGACTTTTCTTGGGTGAATTAGGAAATATCAGTGGGCAGTATCAGAGAGTAGTTGATAGATGACAAAAAGCTTACATTGAAAAACCATATAACAGCACTAACTATCAAAATAACTAACAACGAAAAATATACAAGACCCTCCTAAATACTATTGAAGTGTTACAACTCAAAAACTGGACTCAGAGCATTAAACAAAGAGATTGAAATTGTGATTATGACTTTTTTGGGTCATTTCCATTGTGCTCATCCAATAAATTCAGATATTTAGAAGAGATTATTAACGGACCATTGCTCCATCATTGTAATTGTTCCAATGTCATTTTATTTTTACTATGAGGCACACCATGAGTCCAACTTAAGTTTTCTTTCAGATTAAAATACCAATTTCAATGAGATGACAGATATCTGTAATATGTTGCAGTTTTTAAATATGCATGTGTGTACAGTATGTTTAAACATAGAAGAAGTAACATAGAAACTGAACTAAACTTGAACGATACATGGTGCAAGTCTAGAAGATAATACATGTATGTTGTCATGTCTTAATATGGCATGGAGCTTCTTTTGAATCATTTATGAGTATATTGGATTATTGAAAATGTAAAGGGCTGTCAAAATAAATAGGAATCTGTTAATAATATTGGATACTATTGGTAAAACATGAGACGAATGAAGGACAAGCTGTAACACAATTGGCAATTGAGTGGAGGAAATTTGCTTCTCTGAACATTATTTTCTGATTGTAAAAAATGTACCAGCAATTTGCATAAGAACATTCATTCACCACATGAGCCTGTGAACATGAGCAAGTTATTGTACACTGTTTTGCTTTTTGTGTGTAAATGTGTGAATGTGCTTGCACTGCAGAACTGCAGCCAAACTGATACGCAATGAATTCTTCCTACGAATGTAGTGAATTATTTCAAAAGGAGAGTGAGAGAGCTCTGATTTATTCAGTGGAACAGTAGGAGGTAGAGAGTGTGGAAGTCAATATTTTTAAAGTTTATTTGCTTATTCAACGGCTCCATACTCTGATCTTCATCATCCTTCAAACTTGGTTCAGCAGGAAAACCATAAACCCACAAAATGTGTGAGTTTTGTTGTGTGAACGCTATGTTGTTGTTCTAGTCTATTTGAATGTGCTCCAATATGTGACTGCTATTAGTGTGCATATATGTGTGTGTGTGTGTGTGTGTGTGTGTGTGTGTGTGTGTGTGTGTGTCTTTGAGGTGAATAATAACTTTTTTCTTATTACCCCCGATACGGCACGGTGCTTCCAAGCTTCGCTCACTGGAGTTCAATTACTGGGTTCCCTCTGGCTCGCCTTTTATCACTGAATAAGTAGCTCCCCGATACTGTGTGTGTTTGTAGGTGTGTTTGGTCAAAGTCACACAGTTCCATAGGAAAGTACAAAAAACATAAAGCAAGGTTGCAACACAGCATGTATGAAAACAGCCAGGCGTGGATGCCTGCAGTGCACGCACGTTTGTGGAGAGGTTTGTCATATAAAAAAATCATGTATACAAGCATGTATACTGGTAGTCACATGTACACAAAACACAGGTGCACACTCATTACCTTTTTCTCCCTGGGTGAAAAGCCCCCCCCTCCTGGATTTTAAAGCAATGTCATTACCTCACAAACACACACTCACATACATCACCATGCCTCTGAACTATGGGGACTTAGATTTGGGTCATCAACTCTACAATGAATGCCTGCAAAAGAGAGATAAATAGTTCTTACTGCTTTTCACCTATGTTGGTGCACTGATTTTCCTATTAAACCGAATACAGCACCATCCCTGAGCTACCTGATGGGTAGAAGTAATGAGCCTAGTCAGAAGTGGAAATGTGGGAAAACATATTTTTTGTAAAATGTAAATCTACCTTTGTCGGAACATTAACAATTTGAAGCGTTGCTGTCATAAGAACAGTCTCTACATTTCTCTATAACTGTAAGATGTAACATTTGAAGGGATTTACTCTTTATGAGTAATTTCATGTAATTTCCATGGTCTGAATGAATGTCAAGCAAAAGAGAGATAAGGTTGGGCAGCTTCATTTAAAAAAAGCTTTTACACTTTATCTTTCTCTTTAAACAAGCATACTTATAACCTTGTGTAAAGTTAATATGAGTGGCTTCTTGGTAACTCGAACAATGATTGTCTTATAAAATGAAAGCCTTTTACAGTAGTCATTGTCATTCCCTTTTGCAGTAATTTCATCTGAAAGCTCCTAACCTTACAGCTATTTACCAGCCACATTTTTTTGGGGTGGCTATATTAACCATTACGACACTACGAAAACTAAGGAATAAATACATCAGAAAGACTTTGCAAGCAGTAGCCTAGGCCAGGGGAGAAAAAAGATTAGGGGAAAAGTAAAATAAGTCTAATGGAGACTACCCTTGTCCCTTACGGTATAACAATAGGCTGACTGAGACATCTTAAACTAAAGTAGATCACCATGGGGTATGGAAAGGTATGGAATGCCTATCCCTGAAACCTTTATTTGTCCTAATAAAAAAGTGTCATGTTAATATTAGGAAGCTAGTAATTTGACTGGCACTTATGCATAAATAATACACATTTTAGGAGATAACATAAACCTCAACATGTTTGTAATATTTGTTTTGCTGCTTAATCTTTTCTTTAAATGTTTCAAATGTATAGGTATTTTGTACAACTTTATTATGCGCTTCACACCCGCATCACCTGCGCCACTGTCTGCACACCTGCACTCAAACGGAGTAATTAGCACCAGCCTGTTGCCTTGAATCTGCTTTTTTAGACAGTGAGCCAGCCGAAGTTGCTACAGAGTTATATTGTATTATAAAACATATGAGTTTAAATTAACAGAGCACCTAAACAATGATGGCGTGGATAACGTTTGAAGACAGACTTTCGGTACAACTACAGTAGGCTACGCGGAAGGAGGAGTAACTCCGCAATGGATATGCTAGCGTTTTTTTTTTAGCTAGCGTTGCTTTCTGCTACTAACGTAGAGCTTCTTGCTGAAGACCTTTCCAAGTTGGGATGTGAAACGTTTGTTTAAGAAGAAGCTAACTTTTGTTTGGATGGATTCTTCTGCACAGAAAGCAACAGACAACTTGTTCAAGGTAGGCCTATACCGTGTTACTGTGTGTTAATATTTAACGTTGTTGCTGTTTTAATGAACAGTGCAAGGCTCTGTGGGCCTAAATGATGAATTCTTAATGACAGCTTTCTGTGTATGCTTATAATGTGTGATTTGTCGTAAAAGTGTGCTTATTCAGGTGTACAATTGTTAGAATATTGGTCGATTTTAATGGAATATATTGCATTTTGTCATGTTTTATCAAAAAAGGTTACCAACAGATGTGATTTATTTAATGGTGAGGACCGAGCATGTCTCCTTTTATGTAACAGCTGCACTTCATTTGACTAATTAGTGATATTTTGCATACAGGTACTTTGCCTGCTGTATGTACAGTTACAGAAGCCTAGAAATTCAATCTAGAAATTAGATATGTTGTTAATGCTTTCTTGTTGGTAAACATAATTAATTGCTTATATGCTTTGTGGGTGGTCTCCACTGTTGGTGTTTCTATAGGTATTTATGTTCTTATTCTGTGGTTGATGGCAACCATATCTAAAATGTTTCACTAAGCATTAGTTGAGAGTTAGTGACAGAATGTTATATTGCAAAGGAGACTATACATGTTGAGCAATTCCTGTCAGCCTGTTTGTTGTTTGTGTTTCAAGGGGGCTGTTGATATTAAGTTTGTGTGGGCTCTCTATTGTTTTTAATATTTGAAGGGATATTACATGACCTTACCTTGGCTAAGCTCAACTCTTATTTACCTTTCAACTTCTTCAAAGCAGCCAGAAGTACACTACACATATTCTGTATTTAACACTTCTAGGAATACAAATAAGGCATTAAAGCCAACCAAAAAAATAACAAATTAGTCAAGAGAGCAAGTTAGGTTTCAATCAGTTGATGGACATTTTGCTGTAACATATCCAGCTCTCCTGACACATACAAAAAGAGGAAGAAGGGAAAACAAGACTAAGGGAAGGGATGAGAAGGAAGTAAAGAAAGAAAGACAAACCAGAGGGAATAGCTAAGAAAAGACAGACTGTGATTCATGTCAGTTGGGTTACTCTGCCTCATCCTGTATTCACCGGCTCATGATCTACCACTGCCTCAGACGTGTGTGTTTGTGTGGTGTGTGCGTGTTTTTGAGAGTGTGTTAACACTTTATAGTGTGTCTACCCTCTGAGGAAATGGTGCCAACGTTTGGATAAGGATACAGATAACGACAGGGGAGATGGGGTTGTAAATCACACACACGCACACACACATGCTCACACACACACATTCACACCACTAGCAGTTCGACCTTGACTTCAGCTGTTACCCTCCACCTCTCGTGAACATGTTGTGTAGTATTCTCTCTCTCCTCACGCTGCTGGAAACCGATGTTTATCTACTTTATAGAAGATAACGGAGAGCACACAAGAGAGGGAATGGGAGAGAGCTATGGGACAAAAAGACGAGATATAATGAGAGACAGAAAGAGAGAGAGAGAGAGAGAGAGAAATAAAGAGGGAAGAATGAGAGGGATTGTAGCTAGAGAGCAAGAAGAGGAGAGATAGAGGAATGAAACGGAGAAGGGTCTGAATAATAGATAATATACCCAAATAATAGATAGAGAGACAGGCAAAAATGATGTGCTGCTCACTGTGTCCTACATTTTTTCATTTGCTGAAGAAAAGGCACAGATGGAATTCTTCTGTGTGTTGTGTGTTTTCAGAGTTCTCATAAGCATGACATGGCAAAAAATAATGTGAATGTCTACTCTCACTACATTTGTGGTATTAAATGTTCCCGTGTAACGATGTCTATCAAAAACGATCCATGACCAAAAGCTGGCATTGTATGATGGTCAGATTCATAATCCTATTAACGTATTCTTTGATGGGTCAGATTTTCAAGGCATACACACATACTGTACAGTTCATACACAGGTTTTCTCAGCCTTTGAGAAAAGTTGTATATCTTTGTGTTTCTGAGCACAGCAATATGGAGCAAAATCTAATATCAAGATATTTTTGAGCAAATATCTTTTACGATTATGCAACCCATTTCTTAGGGTTCACTATGGTGCTTAAATAAAATATTTACACTGAGTATTTTAATAATCATCCATTTAGAACACGATTATAAAATAGTCTTTATAATAGTCCAATTCAATATTGTAGGCTGTATCACAGAGAGCAAAATTGTTTCAAAGAGATGATATTTAACTTCTTTATTTAATATTTAGTTCCACCATTGTGTATGTCCTCTCCATGTCCTCTCCTGGCTAATGCCATGAACAACTCTTGGCTTCTTAACTTCTGTGCTATTCATCATTACTGGAGAGATCACCATGTTTTTTCGCACATTAGAGAGAAGTACAGTATGTCCTTGTTAAAAGTGAATGTGTCCTTGAGAAAGGTGCACAAGCAGCATAAAGTGTTTGACTCATACTTCGCTGCCCGTTTCCAGTACTGTTGCATTCTTGTTGAAAATACTTTTTGGGTTCAATTTATTTATGTCTGTTCTCCTCAAATGTACAAAGTTTTAAATAGCTTATTATCGTCACGGCAGTGTGAATTAGTGCTGTTATGGTATGCAATGATGTTAAATGTACAAAATTACAAACACACAGCAAGATATGGCAATCAAATATATTTTGAATTGCGTTTGCACTGCTGTATATACAGTGCATTATGCATGTGAACCACTGCCTCCTACACGAGCTCTATTAATAAAAGTATTATCCATTGTGACTCATTCTAACGCCAACTCTGACATGCTGAATCATACATATTATTATACTCCACCAGCAAAAGTTCTCACTTTTAAATATAAGTAACTTTTGTTGACCCTGTGCAATAGTCCCTTGGCTTAAAGTGGGTGGATTATTTTGAATAAAGAGAGAATAACTAATTACTTTATCAATAGTTCCTTGGATAAATTAAACGTGGCTTTATCAATATAATAGTAATTTCTAAGGAGTAACACAGTCCTATTATGAAATCATTCTTCGGGTGTTCTCAAGATAAAATAGTGCAACTCATTAGGACTTCAATAGACCCGTGGCTAGAGTTTCCTCACGATAAAAGGAGACACATTTGTTCAGACTGTCAGAGTCTTCCCTTGGCCAAAGCTGCTCCTATTATATCCTCAACTAAAATGATACTAATTATTTTAGATTCCAATAGTCCCTTAGCCGAAGAAGATCTAGCTTTTGTTGAAATTAAGTGGTTCAGGGTGATATAGGACAACACAGAAAAAGCTACTCTGGTTTTGTTCAAAAGCTACTCTGGTTTTGTTCAAGGGAACATAGATTACTATGTGTAATTTCATACAGTTTTTCAATTATACCTCTTGCATTGACACTTTTACATACCCACATAATGTGTGTCATTGCAGTGTCTTCAGTTATTTTTTCTAACTTGTCATTTTCTGTTATTTAAAGATAAGAAAGAACTTATTATTCACCAAAACACACTCACATGGTTTGTTTCCTCTGTCTAAGGTCTTTATATTATTTCAAGGTGAAACATAGAATATAATCACAAAATAAAAAGGCTTTTATTGTGTGCACAGAAACGTACACAGACTATAGTTAAATGAAGACACACATAGACACACAAACTGTGTGGGGCTGACTCATGGAGATTAGAAGAGAATAATAATCCTATTATCCTGTTGTCTTTCCCCCATGTCTTCTATTACACTTGACAAGAGCAGAAAGGATGTGTGTGAGAGTGTGTGATAGTGAAAGAGGGAAAGCATATGGGGTGTGCCATGGAATCTGTGTGAGTGTTTGAATATGCATCACTTGCATGATTGGGTATTTAGAGTGTTAGGAATATGGACCACTTTTTGTTTGTGCACATTTAGCTGTGCAATTAAAATAGGGCTGCACAATAACCCCAAAACTCATTTTTAAACCATACTTGCATTGACTTGGCCATATGATTTCAACAACACTTTGATTATTATACTATTGCAATTGAACAATGAAAGGCAAATCTTAGTACACTTTATTATCTGTTTATTTATTGCAGTTAATATCGTTATCGCAAAATATTTTACAAAGTTGTAGCATATTTCTCTCATGTTGTGCATCCTTAAGAACTAACTGCACACTACCATGGATTCGATCCCAACTAAGTTAGGTTTGAACTCCGGTGTGTGAGTGTGTCTGCATGTGGCCCAGGAGCTAATGGTTTAATGGCTTTAGATGAATATATACGGCCCATATATGTCCATTAGAGTCAATGGAAAATCAATAGTTGTCATATGATGGACTTAAAATGTGGGCTCTAAAAGCATCCAAATGTTTTCTACTCTTTCTCTCTCCTGATGTTAATCTCTTCTTCATGTGGTCCCCCCCCCCCCCCCCCCCCCTTCACTCTTTCAATCTCTCTTTCGGTCTGTGATTCATGTCCCCATCACTTCTATAGCTTCCTCTTTCATTGTCAAGTTACTTGTTTGCAATTCTATGCCTGCTTGTTAACCTTCATCCCACTTTCTTTTTTCTGCTCTCCCCTTTTCTCCATTATTGAATCATTTTTCCCATTAGATAGGATGATCTCTTTCTCCTTCCTTCTTGCTCATTCTTCTACTTTTCAGTTTTTAAAGTAAATCTTTATTTCCCATCACTGCTGAATGTCTGCAAGCAACATTTTCTTAATAGCACTTTAACATGTGTGGCAGATGGATGGGCAGCAATGGCAGCTAAATTGCTTCATTTTCAGCACACATACACACACACACACGCAAACACACAGAACAATTACCCGTGAAGGTGCCGATGGTGATGGCCGACTACTTGACACTTGCAGCTAAGTGTTGGCCTATTGACCCCAAGCTTCTTGGTATGGCTGCTTCTTAATGACTTTATCTTCCACCCTAGTCTTTCTCTCTCCTCTCAATCTATCAACCTCTTTCTCCTCCTCTCTCTCTCTGCCTCTATTTCTATCAATCCTTTTGACCTCCATTTTCCTTTCTCTCCCTCTTTGTCTTATCCAGACAGCAGTTTATGTCTTACTCCACCCAACGGCCTTCAACCAAAGT